CATTGTCTCTCATCATGAGTCTGTAGGCAAAAAATTCTCTCATGCTAACAGTTTTCTTCTTCTTTGTAGTTCCTAGAGTCTCTTCTCGATGGTATATATCATCTCTATACCCATCTTCTCCGAGTGGAAATAAGATTGGGTATTGAAGAGGAAGATAAGATGGGTGTAACTCATTGATACGTTGCACTGTGCCTGGTAGTTCCTCAACAATAATATCTCTAGGATGGAATGCTTGATCAATATCTCCTACAATGAGTGCAGCAACTTCAGAGCATGTCGGTACATTATATGTGCGTCCATCCTTATCTCGCTTACTAAGTAATGCTAATTTCATGTTATAAGGTAGATGACTTTGAATCATTGCTGATGCCAAACGGTATTGTTTGACAAATGGATTCACTTCATCCAAAGTAATTCGGATCTTGTCTACAATCACTGGATCAATACCTTCCTGACTTTGATAATTACTGCACATAATTTAATGGAAGGATGGATTAGTAATGTGATTTTTATTACAATAATAATTTATGTAAATTTAAGAATTTGAACTGACCTAACGGCTGAGATTCTGTTGGAAACTTCATTCTCCGTGTCATAAATATAGAGTTGAGAGAACACTGGTCTGGACCCCTCAATAGGCAAAAGACTGCCTATTCTATGGTAATTTTGCCCTGTCAGAATGAAGGTGTATGGACCACCACCTTTATTTTTTGAATGATCTATCTTACCACCCATAGATGTAAATGAGAACATGCTATTATAAGCACGAATATTGGAGCGAAAATTCTTTGACTCAGGAAGTGTTTTGTTAAAGAATAAGTCCTTTATAAATTGAGGAGGAGAATGCATTGGTGGCAATAACACTTTTCCCTTGAGGCAACACAAAGAAAACCCATTAGTTATTGAGCCTCTATCTCTTTTAGCCCTTTCATTAAACCACATTTGAGCTTGGCAAAACTTGCAGACATTAGTTGGATCACCCTCATCCAAGTAATCTGAAATTATTGTATTAACAACATTAATATCAATTCAGTGTAGTCAAAATTGAATCGCCATATGATATTGAAAGAGATATACCTAAAGCATTACTTTCAGCCACACCAGCCAGAACAATACACTCATGGTCTTCATTTGGATTGGTATCATCATCAGTAGATAACTCCTCTGAATATAAATTTTTTTATCATATATCCAGTTAATTTGATAAAAAGAGATTTGCATATATTGTGAATAATTCAAACCTGAATATTTAGAACTTTGAAAATTAAATTCAGCCATATCATTCATGTTCATCCTCATTGATATTTGTTATGCTTTTAGATAATGCAATTATAATTTTTTTGTTGCAAGGAATAATCAATGTCAGAATTGAATGCTACATAGGAGGTAGTTTTAAGCAATCAATACCAGTGCTACCATAATTCTGTACTGATTTATTTGCTTGAGTTTTTTTGTGCCATGTACGTCTTTGAATTCTATCATTGTGAGAGGTAGTAGAACTGTATAAATCTCTTTCTACATCTGTAAAGAAATCTGGGTTAAATTACATCAAAATATGTAGTTGGAAAATGAAACATTCATGTAGAGGCATTAATGGTTAACCTTGGTTTATTGATAGTTCTCTATGTACTGGTAATTCCAAGACAGCATTTGAATGTTGTGTAGTTGGCATACTGATCTTTTCTGATTATAACACATGCCACATAGGAAAAAAACAAAAGATACTATTGTTTTTTCATGTGTGAATAACAAAAGGAAGTGGATAGCACGTGGGATACATTCAATGAATTATCAAAACAATATATAAGATAAACTACACAAAAAAAATATATATACTAAACTATCATCACCACAACATGAATTCATTAAAACTTGTGCCATGGGTATAATCTCATAAAGAAATGACAAGGTGGATAGCACATGGGGTCTAGATAAGTGCAGAACAATAAAATAGCCGCATAACTTGCCACAATACATGCATTATTGGCCGTATGACATCTGGTTAATGTAATTGATTATGTAAAGCCATTTGGAAAGCATATTGCCATATGAAAAGAATATCACCATCCTAGAAATATAATAGCATTTATCATAATAAATGAAGTAGAACTACCGTACATCAATATCCACAATGTCAATGAATTTGTTATATATAATAAATGAAGTTAGCACTAACATACACATCTATCATGTCCTAAGACATAGTAAAGTGGGACCATGAGAAGATTAATCAGAAGCATTATTTGCAAGAGGAATGACAAGTGGAATGTTCATACTGTGGCACGATTTGCATGCAATTAGGGGTTAAATAATAGCAAGCCATATGTAAAGCAGTTGCAATTCTGTCAAAAACTACATTATCACATAACAACCTTTATATTTGAATATACTGATTTATTCAACTCAATCTGATTGAGTAGAAATGACTATAAAAATATCACTTAAGCACCCATCCGATAGGTAGAAAATAAATTTTGAATGAAGTACCTTGTTCTTGAGTGTTCTGCAATTGAGAAAAGGAAATGAAATCACCATTGGAGCCAAAGTTTTGAAAAGTGCAGAATCTGGTGCTCCTTCTCTTAAACATTGGCTCTAAGTCTGATTTATGGTATAGTTGATGTGCATTCATACTTGCTGGGCAAATCACAAATAAATCAGGGGATTGGTCATGAGTTCGTAATAATAAGCCATGGAGGGAGAACAATACCTTCGACATCAGCATTACCAAACTTCTTTGACAGGTTAATTGCTACATTAGTTATGTCTTGAAGAGCATTTATCCTTGCCTGTTTTCTATGATGTGGAGATTTATTGGTTGAGAAGAGTTGAGAAGGATTTGTATTTGGTATATTCTCTGCTTCAGGTTCTGGTGTGCCATTGTCTTCAGATGCTGGTGATTCAAACGTGGAAGTCATGATAGCAGATAACCTTGCACTATTTCTCTTTCTATTGAACATCTTGTATTGAAGTTCTGACTTCAAGTACTAAGACTTAATTCAGAAACTACTAAGCTTGCACTTTGAATCAGTGAATGTGCAATCTGAATTTTTTATCTGCTGTTAGATTGGAGTTTAGCAAATTCATCTTGACTTCCTCTACCGAGTTCTTGATTCTAAAACCACTACAAATGATATTTGAATCAGTTGACGTGAAAAATGCTCTTAGTTTCAAATCTCAGATTTTGGTTCACAATATCCAAGGAGGTTGAAGCTAAGAGGTTAAGGTAGGAAGGGATTCTTGGAAACCTCAATAGGCTGTGTGCATTAATTAGATGACTTTGACATTTGGAAAAGGCTTATGCGGCTTATTATCTCTTCTTACTGATTTCACAAAGTAGAGAAGTGACATGACTCTAGAGGTGTTTGTACATAGACTAACTGTCAAAATATTGCATTAAAGCATTTTGACACTGACAAATGCACCTGGCGTAGGTGAAATACACTGATTCTGGTTCAGTTGAATCTTACAGCATTTAATGAAGCATGTAGAAAGCAATTAAAGTCTGGCTTATGTGACAGGTAGGCAACTAATAGTAATGATGTTATCAAATTTCAAATCTATTGACTGTGTATTGGTGTTAACTGCTGGTTATTAATTTATTTTATACCAGTGCAAGTAATATCGATGCTGTTACTATTAGTTTATTTACTATTTTTCTGTCCCTTTTTATTTTTTTGGATAACAAAAAAATCTTTCTTGTACAACTGGCTATGAATTAAAACTTGTTGTTTTAGCAAACAACTTATGACAGCAAAGATGTTTTACGGTGCCCATTGTTTCTGGTATATTAGCAATATATTAAAACATATTTGATGTCAGATATCTTGTTTAATTAGAATTGCATTAGTTCAATGGAGTTGCCGTCATGTGTTTCTCAAATATTTGCACTAATGGGTGAGTCAATATTTTTTCATCAAATCGATTTTTTTTGGTGACTTACTTAATTATTTACTGTCAGGTTGTTTCTACTTTAAATTAGAATTGCATCAGTTTATTTATTTACTTTAATTATAGATCTGTTCTAATTACTTCCCATCTTGATTTGGCTTGGAAGAATTTTTTTTTAAGTTATTGCTATATTAATTCTATATGACATAATTTCATACCTTCCAATCTGTTCAAAAGAATATCTCTTCATACTTTATAATTTGTTCAAATCTGTCATAGTGTTATGAAGATTGCAGTATCAATTAGCGTTTTCCAGATTTAATTTGGTCTAAATGGAGGATGAGAATATACGTGTAGGTATCATGCACTGTAAAAATTTAATTAACGTTTAAAGCATCATAACTAATTTTTTGAATTTAAAGTGGTCACTCATATTTCATGCACATATTCTATAATGGTGTGAATTTTATTATCTTTTAAGCTGCATTTTAGATAATACCAAAAGAAATAAAATACATAATTAATTCATAAATAAAATACCAAAAGGCCATGTTTTTGGTTGGAATGTTGTTGTCATCTTAACTGACGAGAATTTTGATTTTGTTGCAACATTATGACAGTGTAACACACACCTATAGAAGTCTAGAAGCTGTGAATTTGCCCTTTATAAAGATAGAGATAGAAAGACCAAGTGAGGGAAACCAACATTTACTGTGACAGTATAATACATCTACATTATTTATTGTTTACTGAAATATTCATTTAGGGGCTAAAATGATCAGTCACGCAACACAAATTTAAAAGGAAGTCATCAAGTTGTCCTATTTTCAGCACTGCATTCCTGGAAAATATGGAAAATTGGTAGAGGAAAAATAATGAGCTCCTGGAGCATTGACAGACCTTAAAATAAATGCCATTAGTAATTAATAATTCATTACATATTAGAGTTCCTGGCTAAAAGAAATAAAACTTAAACAGCAATATAATAACTGTTTTAATTCTAATATCTGGAAAGGCAAGATGATAAGTGAACACTAAGCACAACAATAGTTAAAAAAAACATAGAAACAACAAAAAGGACATTAATGCTTCAGTTCAAGCTCTTAAAAAGCTCAAGGTTTTTCTTGTTTAATTATCTTGACAGGCTTGGTGTTAGGCATGGCATAAGTAGATGGTTGAGGTTGGGGATTAATTTGCTGGACTTCTGCACTCTTTTTCAAATATTGCTTCCTCTTTCCTCTTGGCAATGGAGGAGGATACAGCTGAGATATAGTCATTTCATCAAGCCCAATGTCCTGAGACATTATTGGTTCAACTTTGGAAAGAGATGAACCCATAGTTGTTTCTTCATGACTATTCTTAAAGTCTGAGGCTGTTGGAACCACCTGCAATAATCAAACACAACACAAAGGCACTCCTAAATCATTCATTGCATAAAAAAAACTTTTCATAGACCATAACTAATATAAAATATAAAATTGCATTTCATTATACCTCATTCACTCCCTCTTTAACTATAGTACCCTCTAAGACCATAATAGCCAGACCTGAATTGGTACCCTCCTAGAATGTAAAATTTTTTAAAAAACCAAACAAAATACAAAATAATTTAGCACAACATGTCAGTTATTGAATAAACTTTTAAACCATAATAGCTATCAATTGTTTCACACCTCTACTGAAGCCTCTTTAAATTGCTCAAGAAGGTCTTGACATGCTGTGTATTGAACCACACCAATGCTAGAGTTAGGATGTTCAAGATTGTAGCTTGTACGCTTTAGCTTGAGCAGCATTTTTCTCCCTACCACATCTTCAAGCTCATCTGGGAAGGCATATGAACGATTTTCCTAGCATTCAAGGATAAGTTAGACAATATGTGGTTAAATTTTGGAAAAGATAGAGAGATGAGTGCTAAGAGATTACTTTATGCAGCTGCTCTTTTATCTCAGAAGCAGTTTTTAGAGTGAACTCATACGCATGCTTGTCAAAAAAGACAACAGAGGTATTTCCAGATTCATCAGACACGTTATAGTGTGCTTTGAGCCTAATTAAATAGATTTCCAACCATATGTAATGAGAATAGAGTTAAATGTAAACCACAAATGAAAAGAAAGTAGGAAAAGTTAGCAAATTTACTTAAATTCAGTTTGAGTCATATCATTGGGGCATGAAGGGCAAACCATAATTCCTTTTGAATTAGGCCTATGTTTGGTTCCACATCTGATACACAACCCTCATATGTCCAGCCTGGATTAGTCTCTAATTTCTCTATTACACACTCTATAATAAATGGATCACCCTAATAATAATAAAAAAAAGGTAACATGTCATTAAAAATGAAACTTTATCCATGACCATTCACATAGGTTTATGAGGTCACCACTTTCATTGTGTCGATGTCAGAAATCATAATCTTCTTAGTGGATCTCAACATAGAGTCTGCAGAGAGTTGTGTAGTTTGAATTGGTATAACTTGGCTGAAGCAAGAGTTGTTTGGAGATGAGCTTTCCTTGGCACTGGAAACAAAAAAGAGTTGATGCAAACACTGTAATGTAACTGACATGTTGATAAACGGATAAAGGGTTAAAGAATGGTGCTTGTAATAAATTTCATGCTACTGGTCACTTTTTGCTAAACCTGTCGATCAAATCTGAAACTTCCTAATATTTGGATTCATCCACACTTTGTTTGCATGGAAGGATGAACCAATCTGGACCTCCTCTGCACAGGAAAAAATAAATTAGTTTCTCATGTCAAAAGGCAAAGGTAAGAGTGTGTTGAA